GGTGGGTGGTGATGACTAGCTGCCTTCCCTCTAGTCTTACACTGCTAAATTAGGGACGGCTAGCGCAGATAGCCCTCGTGTAGCTTTGCGCGAAATTCAAAACAAACAAACAAACAAGCACAACTGCAACTAGCTGGATTGCATGATCATGAACATGACAGAAGCTGTAAGACAAAGTCGGGTGCTGAATTCTCACTTGTTCAATAAATCGCAATCTCACGCCACCTGTTTTTATCAAAGTAAATCATTTAAATTAATAGATTTTTGTGTTAAAAGAGACCCATTATCCAAATCAAATATTTACTTTGGATAGTTAAAAAGAAAAAGATGACAAACTAGTTTATATGATTTTATTTATATATTGTTGTATAGATCGTTATATATATATGTCGTAATTGGAAAATATCCCGTAATAAGGGAACTGCACTGGATACCTGTTGCATTCTTCTATCCATATCCCTGGGGAGACACATTGTTTGTTTCTTTGTTATGAATTTCGCACAAAGCTATACGGGGCTATCTGTGCTAGCCATCCCTAATTTAACAGTGTAAGACTAGAGGGAAGTCAGCTAGTCATCACCATCCACTGCCAACTTTTGGGCTACTATTTTACTAACGAATAGAGGGATTGACCATCACATTATAACACCCCCACGGCTGAAAGGGCGAGCATATTTGGTGTAACGAGGATTCAAACCTGCGAGCCACAGATTGCGAGTCGAGCTTCCTACCCACCCGGCCATGTTGGTCTGGGGAGACAGAATATCTGACATAGGGACGAGGCATGATTTTCAGATGAAAGCTTGATAATTAGTGTGCAGTATATGCTTGTGTAGACAGTAGTGACTTGGGGCAGTTTATGGGAATGGATTTTCCCTCCCTTCACACAAAACATGATGTATCGTAATCCTGCCACGTTTTTACAGTCTTTGGCCCACACAGTCTACACGTTAATTCTTCTATGGCTGTTTGAATGTAATTTGGTACTTCAAGGCTTTGTCCAAGCTGATTAAATTCTCTTTGAAATATTGCACTACCTTTCATGATGTTGAATGCAGACAACTTCCTTTTGTCTGCAAATGCACTAACTATCATATCTAGTGAATGCATGAAGTCCTGGTATGATATTCGCAATATTCTCTGAGAGAGCAAATTTCAGCTCCAGACAACAATGTTTGTCATAATTCAAGGGAGCTTGATGTTAGAAGCTTGTCCTTATCAGTGCTGCAATGTATAATGCAAGCTGTTGTTTTTGCTTGCATGTAAGAGCTTGGTATTGTCCATTTTCGTCATCAGCTCTTGACATTGTAAAATATATTCTTCATATCTATGCTAAGAAAAGACAAAATTATAGAAGATATCAAGAAATGTTAGCTTACATTTATCCTAGCTTTTATGATAATCTTCTATGCACCAAAATTGAACAGTAAGTTCACATTTATCTTCCTGTTTCTCTAATTGAATCTCGTGGCCTGTTTTTAATAAGAAAGCTCAAACAATAGTAGAAAAAGTGAAAACGAAAATCATGTAAATATCATTATTATATTCCTAGCTAGCTCCCCGTTAAGCGAATCCTACCT